ACACACACACACACACACACACACACACACACACACACACACACACACACACTCCTAAGTAAATAAATGCAACTTGCTCAAATCCATACAATGTTACTTCTATGTATATGATTTCATGGCTTCACATTTAGTATTGGATAACCAGTTGGAGGAAATCTTCCTCTGGAAAAATTATTTCATTCCTAACATTTCCTATTACCTATTGCTGTTTATTTACAGGGCCCCATGAAATTTCACCCTTCCATGGTAGGAGGTCTATTGCTGTTGTCCATTTATTGGAGGTTTCTGTTTTTAATTTTCACACACATAACTACGATTTCAATTTTTTTAAAAAAAAATGTATTCTGAAATATCTTAAAATTGAAATTATAGCACACACATATTTTCATAGATGGAAAACTAAGGCATTGTTAACTTTAAGTTGTATCAGGGTTAACTCTTACATTCAACCAACTCTTTGTTACATTGATTCTTTGAATTGATTTCTTTGTTTCCACTTCATTGATTTCTGCCCTCAGTTTGATTAGTTCCTGGCGTCTACTTCTCCAGGGTGAATTTGCTTCCATTTGTTCTAGAGCCTACAGCTGTGGTGTCAATTCTGGTGTGACTATTCTCTAGTTTCTTCTTGTGAGCACTTAGAGCTATGAACTTTCCTGTGATTACATATTGTTTAAATCTGGTTTTGTTGTGGAATATCTTGTTTTCTCCATTTATAGTGATTGAAAGCTTTGCTGGGAATAGTAGTCTGGGCTGGCATCCGTGTTCTCTTGGAGTTGGTAGTATATCTATCCAGGTCTTTCTTGTTTTCAGAGTTTCCATGGAGAAGTCGGATGTAATTCTGATAGTTCTGCCTTTATATGTTACTTGGCCTATGTCATTTGCTGCTCTTCATATTCTTCCTTTATTCTGTATGTTTGGTGTTTTAATTATTATGTGAAGAGGGAACTTTTTTGTGGTCCAATCTATTTGGTGTTCTGTAGGCTTCTTGTACTTTTATTGGCATGTTTTTCTTTAGGTTGGGAAAGTTTTCTACTATAATATTGTTGAATATATTTTCTGCATCTTTGAGTTGGGTTTTTTCACCTTCTTCTATACATATTATCCTTAGGTTTGGTCTTTTCACAGTGTCCCATATTTCCTGGATATTCTGTGTTAAGGATTTGTTGGACTTAAGATTTTCTTTGCTTGATGGATTTATTTCCTCTAGTTTAACTTCAGTGTCTGAGATTCTATCTTCCATCTCTTGTATTCTGTTGGTTATGCTTGCATCTGTGGTTCCTGATTGTTTACTCCGCTTTTCCACTTCCAGCATTCCCTCAGTTTGTATTTTCTTTTTTGTCTCTATTTCAGTTTTCAGGTCCTGAACTGCTTCCTTCAGCTGTTTAATTGTATTTTCTTGACTTTTTTGGCTTTCCTTGATTTCTTGCATCTTTTGGTTTGTCTTTTCTTCCATTTCTCTGAAGGATTTTCTGATTTCCTGCCTTAGGGTCTCTATGAAGTTGTTTTTAAGGTTGCTCTCTTCTGCTTCATCTGTGTTGGGATGTTCATATCTTGCTGGTGTAGAGTCCCTAGACTCTGGTGGTGTCATATTGGTTTTCCTGTCTTTGGATGTGTTCTTTTTTTCTTTCTAGCTCCTTTAATGGGAAGTACTAGAGGCATTTGCAAGACCTCAAGATGGCCCGAAGCAGTATATGGCAGAGTCCTGGCAACAACCAAAATGGACCATCTTATGGCCCTCTGGGGGATACTTGGAGTCCTTAAAGCAAGGGTACAGGCAGAGTTGGAATTGAGGGCACTACTTTGTTGGTATAAATGTGGTCTTCAGCTGGGCATTGGTGGCGCATGCTGACCCAGCATTCAGGAGGCAGAGGCAGGCGGATCTCTGTGAGTTCGAGGCAAGCCTGGTCTCCAGAGCAAGTGGCAGATTAGGCTCCAAAGCTACACAGAGAAATCCTGTCTCAAAAAACAAAAACAAAAACAAAATGTGGGCTTCAGGCAGGATGCTGGTAGGGCCTTCCGGTGGTGTATTCTCCTTACTCTGGGATGAACTGGCATTGACTCCACCATGAAGTGTCCCCTGGCATTGAAATTGAGGTGACTGCTGGTGTTGGGCTTGAGGTGACAGCTGATGATGGACTTGAGGTGACTGCTGGTGTTGGACCTGAAGTGATTGCTGACTTTGGACTTGAGGTGAATGCTGGTGTTGGACCTGAAGTGATTGCTGACTTTGGACTTGAGGTGATGGCTGGTGTTGGACTTGAGGGAACTGGTGGTGTTGAACTTGAGGTGATGGCAGATGTTGGAGTACAGGTGAAGGCTGGTTTTGGAGTTGACATAACTGCTGCTGTTTGAGGGAACTGCTGGTATTGAACTCGAGGTGACAGTAGGTGTTGGAATAGAGGTGATGGCTGACATTGGACTTGAGGTGATTGTTGAAATTGGAATTGAAGTAACTCCTGAAACTGTAATTGACATATCTGCTGGTGTTGTTCTTGGACTTGGGGTGACTACTGGTGTTACCCTTGGTCTTGGGGTGCCTGCTGGTGTTGCTCTTGGTCTTGGGGTGACTGCTGGAGTACTTGTTTCTGCTGAGTGTTTTGCTCATTGGTTCTTGAATCAAACCTTCAGGAAGAATGCAAGAGGGTAGCATCTCTATGCTAACTGCCCCCAGGTACTTAGTTCTGCAAGTAAGGAAGATGGATGTGTTCTTATATTGTCGTCTTCCCATCTCATCTTCCAGTGGGTGCAGGTGGTGTCTCTTCCTTTCCTGGTGTGTATGGGTTCAAGGTTCTCTTCTTGTGGGTGCAATTGGCTCCGATACTCTGATGGATCTCAAGATGGGTGCAGGCAGGTCTGAGGCACTCACTCTCTAGGTGGGTGGGAGCAGGACTAGAGCAGAGATGTCAGCAGACTCTTGGTTGCTTGGTCCTCAGGGGCCAATTCGACCTGCCTGCAGACCCCAGGATGGGAGTTCCCAGAGTGGACAGGCAGAAGTTGGGCCCAAGGTAGGGGCCAAAGCAGCTCACCTCCTTCTGTATTATCTTTGTGAGAGTCAAGATACTCATTTATTCTGGTAGAATAATAATATAGCTCTAAGTTTAAGATATTGGTTATTGTGGTCCTTTAAATGTGCTATGTCTCCCGGGTTTTATGTTATGAGTATATATTGTGCCAACTTTTCACTTAAAGTCTTCAATAGGAAGGCATCTGGCTGTTTTCCTGAACCTTCTAGATACAAGACACTAGATGGAGTAGCATAGACAAGAAAATATAGACCTAATGCCTGTAAAATGCCAACAGTGTAATGTGTACAGAGACAGCCTGTTCAGAGGGGTATAAGTCAGTTGCGGAGCTTACACTAAAGTTCAGTGGTGTTGCCATCTTCTTTGTAAATCTCTGTTTGCCTTAGAAATTTTTTCCACAGAGTTTATCTGAGATGAATGCACTGGAGTAAGGGCATGAATGAATAAGTATCTGTAAGTATCTGTCTGCTCACAGAGATTGTCAAGAAAAAAATGGAAAGGACATCAGATTGAGAACAGAATGCCAGTTTCCAATTTTCTAAGAGCTTGTCACTGAAGCCTATTGCATACATCCATGTGGCTATCTTCCTTAGCTAGCCATTTCCAGGTGTTTTGTTGCTCCTCATTAAAGTATATGCAAAAATGAGCATGTTTTCCTCCAAATTTCTAATAATCCGAAACTAAACAGCAAAGTTGACTAGTGGTTCCTTTGGACAATGTCTTATTTCTCATTGCTTTACTAGGAATAACAGCAGTTCAGGAAGAAGATCCATGATCATGATCCATAAAGAAGAGTTGTTCACATCTGTTCATCATTACTTTCATCATCATCATCACTTGTACAAAGCAGTTGTGACATACTGATTATAAAACACATTTCAGAGGATCAATAAGACCTGAACCACAGGAAAGTCACCAGAATAAAGTGAGCGAACTCAGAATCACCTAAAAAGAGGAGTTTAAAGGAAGTTGGGACACAGTATGGAAAAGAACAAAAGTAGATTTCAGGCTACCATGATTATATTCTTTGTATCTCTCCAGATCTTTAAACCTCAAAAGAAGTAGGAAACTCATTTTGTCTTGTGTGTCTAAAGGACAGAAACAAGAATAAAATGTCTGTGTGCTGGTGGAGTGGGAAGAATTGGGAAACTTGTAGAAATTGTTCCTGCCCTAATTCAAGGTTTTCAAGAAAATGAAAGGTTCTTTGTACATGTACTTGAAGTTAAACTAGAAAATAAAAATTATTATGAATCACATACTCATCATAAACACAGTAATCATTTGTTAATTGGATAATCTTTGTTCTTTCAGATTAAGTACTAAGCAGAAATAATGCACGGTTTGGTTCAATGTGTTCTCTACCAATTAGAGTGCCAATGAGCATTAATGATTATGCGTGCATATATGTGTGTGTACATAATTTATCTATGTTTGGGTCACTTCAGGCTATTGAATCACTTCCAATACTGCAACAAATTTGCAAAAGGAAAAGACAACTAGTTACCTTTTGTTTCAGAGTTATGTTGGAAGGAAATTAAGTTCCCAGAACACATGAAAATGAGCCAAAAGCATCTGTAAGTCATCTGAAAGCCTCTTGTCTTTTATTGGTGAACATTTTGCATGTATATCTATTGAGAAGACCTCAAAAGAACGACATTCTGTGGACTGTGGCCATCACCAATTTTAGTATAATTAACTGTGCTTTATAATCATTTAAATGAAATTGTAAAATCCTTATCATTGTTCCTTCACACAAATTGCTGGAGTTCCAGGTAGACACTGTTCTCTCAGACTGGGCCTATAGATTTCAGACCTTTGTGTGATTCTGGACAGCTGGGCTTATGAGTGTGGTCCATGTGCTCTAGCTTTTGAAATAATAATAAGCTTCAGCAAAACACTATACAGTGAACAATGAATCTGTCTACCACTGGCTTACATACAATCTTTTTAAAGCCTCAGAGCCATGCTGAGGCAGATACTAGCATTCCAGTTTTCTAGATAGTGAAGAAGATACATAGGTGTTCAATAACAAAAACCCTACCAAGATAACTGATATGACATAAATTCTAACCCAGCTCGTCACTGTGTTACCCTTATACTGGTTCTGTATATTCTCAGGTACCATGCTTCAAGGATGCTAGATCCCTTAGCCAGAAAATGAGGCAAGCTTTTAAAGTGTGATGGGCCTTGTGTAGAATACTAAGGAAAATATCTTCGTGTTTACACATGCTTGGTGTAAAGACCAAAGGTCTAAGGATGATAGCATAAATTCAAAGCATTCTCTTCACTTGCATTTATTATACAAGCAAATATCCTGGCTCCACAGCCCACTACATGAGGAAATTTTAGCTCCTCTGTTGAAAAAACCATATCCTCTCTGTTGATCTCATAGAAATATTCTTTTTCTTGCTTTCTCACTTTCTCCTACTCTTGTTCTTGAATTATCTATATAGTTTTATTTCATCTTTTCACATATAGAACCCAAACCTTTCAATCCATTTAGACTCTGTCATAGCAACAATGATTTCATAGTCCCTTAGAATTAGAGCACTTTCATGTCACTTCACCTTTCTGCTGTGTTACTGGGAACTGGGATGATTTTGGGAGCAGTAGAGGTAGGAGATGCTGATGGGAGAACTTTCTTTTTTAATTTAAATTCTTTAATGACTACTCATATTTACATATCCATCCCCCCATTCCATCACCCTCCCATCCTCCCATGTTCCCCACCATCTCCCAACTCATCCTCCAACTCCTCCCCAGAGATAGTGAAGCCCTCCACCAGGAACCTTCAAAGACTGTCATATCGTTTGGGGAGGACCTAGGCCCTCCTTGCTGTATCTGGGCTGCAATAGTATCTTAATCACTTCATATTAAATATCTAGGCCTACCATAATGTCAGCTTTGGAGATATTCTGCACTATCTCTTTTTCATGTAAGATGATTCCTCTGTTGGAATTCTGCATGACTCTTACAATTTTACAGTTACATTTGTGCAGAAAATTTTCAGTTTCTGAAAATGGCCTGCCCAATGTTGGATTCAAATGTACTATATTGTATTTTGTTAATTAATCTATTTTGTTTAATGTAGTTAGGTATAAGGAAATTAGAGATCACTGTGCCATACCATAGACATATAAATATTTGCTTCACCAGTCAATGAATCTTTCAGTACACACTTTCAGGAACCATATCATTGGTTATTGGGTATAGTCTCTGCTCATCCAAGTATAGAGATAGTTTTAAAAGAATACTTGCTCAAAATGAGAGCCCAACTGTTGAAAACACAGCTCTAGTCTTAGAGTCATGTTTTGTTGATTATGTTTGGGAGTAAATTGTGTCTTTTGGTAAATTTATTGTAGTGCCAGTTATTATTAAATGATACTTATAGAGTCTTCTGAAAATGCAATAATTTTGGGTGAGTGCGGTGGCCTTGAGTACATAGAACACACCACTGCCTCAGAAGAGGCATATTATATTAAGCCTTAGAGATGGCTTGGGAGAGTGAGAAATCAACTGACAAGTGAAAAATAAAGATATAATGGCTTTGTGAATAGAGTGAGTATGATATAGATACAAGAGTGCATCTCATACTTACCAATGGGAAGTAAAGAAATACTAACACAGACATCAAAAACTGGACCAAGTGTGTGTGTGTGTGTGTGTGTGTGTGTGTGTGTGTGTGTGTGTGCAGATGTGTATATGTCAAATATCATATAAGTTTTTTTTAATGTTATCTGTATTGTAGTATGTCAACTGGTGTCATGAGGGGGGCTCCCTGCAGGTGTTAGGAATGGAAGAGAACTGCACAAAGAGATAGGTAAGAAAGCCTGGTGCAGATTGACCTCATTAACCTGGATCAGACTTAAGGGAGTCTAATACCAGATAGTTCACTGTCAACATATTTAAAACACAGTATAATTTGGGACAATGTTTCCAGGCAACAGTCAGTCCAGTAAGTCCAATTCCAGTGCACAATAAAGCTTAAGGTGTGCCTACACAGAGATTCTTCATAAAGTACATGTGACCATGAGGGTTGGTTCTATAGCTAAAAGGCCATTGAAACCAGTGTATTCTCTGACTGAAATAGCATAGAGGTCAGCAGGCCAGAATATATTGGTGACAACCTACCCAATGATGGGTAATGGTCTAAGGAGGGAAAAGTCTGGGATAACCATTCTGGGGAATTAGGGTGAGGTCTATCCCTTCAGACAGCAAAATGGTCCCCGGGTCATTAACAACCTCCACTCTCAGCTTTCTGGATGGTATGCAGGTATTTGATTTTTATCTCCTCCTGTGTGATTAACATTCCTGGTTCTCTTTGTGCTTCTCTGTGAGTGCAAGGCCCTTGGGTTCTCTAAAGTGTCCAATAATTGGGTGGGGCTTTAGTTACTGCCATTGTGAAGTTTTGAGTAGGTTGAATGAGTTTGACTGAGCTGCAATAGGTTATACTGGTTTCTTCTCGATTTTTGAGACACTTTGCTATGGATTGGTTGGGCTTTAGTAAAATGAACACAACTGACAGAAATACAAGACACTCAGTAAAGGTATAGCATCACTTTCTGGTCATATGCTGTGCTCTATATTTTTTTGTTTCTCTAAAATTTATGTGTTGACATTTAATCACCAATAGGGTACATCAGGATGCAGACAATTTTGAAGTTAATTAAGTAGAACTTCAATGGGAAAAGAGATTCTATAAAACTGATTTCAGCAAGTTCTCTAATTTCTTCCATTATGTGAGGATACAGAGGGTATTATCTATGAAGAATGAATTCTCACCAAATATCAAATTAATCTATTGGATCTTTGATGTTGGACTTTTTAGCCTTCAGAATAATGAACCACACACTTGACCTGTTTATAAATTACCTGATCTAACATATTTTTCTGTAGCAGCATAGACAATTGTATTATTTGTAATATGCCAACTATGTGATGAGCTTTTTCCATTAATATGAAGAAAAGTATTCAGTGAGTAACTTCTGAGTAACAGCCCCTATTGTATCCAATGATATAGAGGTAAGACATGGATGATGGTCAGTGAGACATGGCGGCATATTAATCCCACCACTTGGAAAGCAGAGGCAAATGGATCTCTGATCTCTGAGTTTGAGGCTAGCCTGGTCCACTGAGCGAGCTACAGAACATCTAGGGATAAACAGAGAAACCCTATCTCAAAACAAAACAAAAAACTTAAAGCAAATAGTGGGGCAGTGGTGGCACACTCTAATCCCAGCACTCAGGAAGCAGAGGGAAATGGATCTCTGCAAGTAAGAGTCCAGCCTGGACTACAGAGCAAGTCCTAGGACAGCCAGGTCTATGTAACACAAATAAATTATAGACCCAGAGACTGATACTGGGGTTGAAGCTGAAGATTGGTGAAGCAAAGTAGCCGGCCACTAGCTCTCACCTCTAGCTCTGGCTGAAAGGGCTGATCTACAAAGTAGCTCTTCACCAAGTCTCAAACTGCTGCCCCTCCTCAGTGTGGCTGGAGAATGAATGCCTCTCTGAGACCTTGTTTCTGTCTTATATATTTCTCTAATGTTGGGATTAAAGGTGTGAGCTATAATTCTCTTTAGGACTGATTCACTCTTGTGTAGATCTGATTGGCCTTGGACTCACAGAGATCAGTCTATCTCTTAATCCTGAGTCCTAGGATTAAAGTTGTGTGCCATCACCTCCTAGCTTTTGGATGCTGGGATTAAAGGTGTGTTCCTGGTTTCTATGGCTTGTGGCTGACTTTGCTTTTCTGAATCCCCAGGCAAGCTTTAATAAATCATAAATGATATATCACTACAGGTCTATTCAGAGAATTCTTGTCTCAAAAATAAGCAAACAAAAAGAAAACAAAACAATCAAACAAAATAAAAGACAAAGCAAATAAATAAATAAATAAATAAATAAATAAATAAATAATAGTAATTAAGAAATAATGGTGCCCACCAGAAGGTCTGGATTTAAGAGAGAAAGCAGGCAAGGAAGCAGATATTATAATTAGGGAAAATTGATGTATGTATATAATGTAACATAAACTAGGTCTAAACAAAAGTTTCTCTTTCATTAACAAAGTCCATTGTGGATAGACTTTCATGGTGAGGCAATTGTCCTCCTTGAGCCCATCATCCTAGACTGCTTAGTCTGGTGGCAGCACCACAACAATGTGTATTTGTTTCCATGCTCACCATGGCATAGAGGGGCTAGTATGAGAAATTTATTGTTCCAGCAACTTACTATTTCTAGAACCATTTACCATGCCCCTCCATGCTTCATTTTTTAAAAAAGATTTTATTTATTTTTAGGGAAGTGTGAGTGCCACCATCCTGTGTTCCTGTATGTAGAAGAGCATTAGATTTTGCACTATTTTAAGCTACCACAGTTAAGGCTAGGTCACTGTGTGAGGCCAGCAGGTGTAGATATCAGGGGTCTTTAACAATTTCCTCTAAGTTTTAATCTTTGGAATTCCAGTGTCATTTTCAGTGTTATCTAAAATGGTAAAAATTATAGTTGAGCCGAACTTGTGTTCTGTGAAGGAATAGTGTAACAGGAGAAATGAAAGACCCAGAGAATGGTACTGGGGTTCAAACTTCAAGCTGAAGAACAGAAAACAAAATAGTGTGCCATGAGCTCTCACCATTACCTTATGCTGAATGGGCAGACCCTGCTGCCTCTCCTCAGCATGGCTGGAGAATCCTGAGACTGAATGTCTTACTATCCTCAATGTGACTGCATAATGACTTTCCCCAGATCCTATTCTCAATGTATCTGGAGAATGAATCCCTGATACTGACTACAAAAGACCCTGCCCCTATCTTGTACACAACTCTAGTGCTGGGATTAAAGGCATGTTATCCCAGGTGCTGAGATCATCTTTGTGTGAGCTGTTTCTCTTTAGGACTGGATCAATCTTGTGTAAATCTGTTTGGCCTTTGACTCACAGAGATCTGTCTACATCTTAATTCTGAGTCCTAGGTGTGTACCACAACCTAGCTTCAGGCTCCTGGAATAAAAGGTGTATATCAACCACTGCCTGATCTCTATAGCTTGAGGCTGACTTTGCTTTCCTGAATCCTCAGGAAAGCTTTAATAAATTGTAAATAATGTATACCACAGAATAGCATATATGCGAAGTAGGGGTTTTTTGAGGGGAGGGGTATGTGACAATGTTAAATGTTCCTTCTCAGAAATAGAAAGCTGGTTACATTTCACAGTACATCTGTATTGCATTTTCTGACCCAAGGAAACACTGTTTCATGACAGTCTATTTTTCTACTTTATTTCATTCAGATGCAGTGACTGAAGTGAAGACAGACATCTATGTGACCAGTTTTGGCCCTGTGTCAGACACTGACATGGTAAGTATAGTTCCTGAAAAAGGAAAAGAGAAAGATGATTAAACAGGTGAAAAATAGTCATTTTCCACAGTAGAACTCTGATTTGTGTTCTTAAGAGATATATTTTCTCATTAAATCCTTACTAGTGTATTTTTGGACAAGTTTGTCTTTTCTGTGCTCTCTTTACCTGTTTCCATAAACTGTACTTAGCCATACAAGAGTACCTGTCTCTTCTTTTACTTCCCATGTTTCAAAGTTGGCTTAGTCCTGTATCTTCTTCATATGTCCCTTCACACTTTTCTGGCACCCTACCTACATAATTGTTCAAATAGATCATTTGAAGGGATAAATGTAGTGGTTACTAATGTGGGTCAGGTAACCAGTAATGCTCTCCAAGAAGCTTGTTGATGTCCATTCACTGAGAACATGGATGGACCAAATATTTCAGTGCTTGGATCTAAATCATTTCTAAATGCTGGTCCTTTTATAGATGTGGGCAGGTAGGGGAGCTATAGCACTAGCAATAGGCCATTAGTTACACACAAGTGGTATTGAGATCTTTCTGCAGAGATTGCCTCTCTTCCCACCATTCTATTTGGTGTGCTAGCAAACAATCTGATGAAGTTTTAAATATAAGATATTGGGTTGTATGTTTTTATATAGAGAAAAAAGAAGCTATTGTTTACTTATTGTTTCTGGGATTTAGTAGATGCTCAGTAAAAATTTTGCTGATTGCCTTTATAATGAGAATTAATCTTGACTTGGTTTTTGAGACTGCATAATTCTATATATCTCTGGCTGGACTGGAATTCATTATGTAGATCAGGCTGACCCTGGACTCATGATAATTCTCATTTTTATGCTTCATGAATGTAGAATGACAGTTATGTACTAATACATCAAAGAATGAAAATCTTAATATCTGGCAAATATGTTTAAATCAATGTTCTTTATCCACTATTTTGATATTCTCTATTTTCCTACCCGTGGGGAGCAGCCTCCAGTAGCACAGGGCTCAAGGGGAGTCTGAATCCTATGACCTTTTTATTGGAGGGGGTAAGAGAAAAGAAATTCACACACACTCTTGGTGATTTCCTTTTTTCTTCTTCTATATTTTCCATTCATTATTTTCCTGGTTATTTCCTTCAATCATGATGTTTTTCTTCTAAGTCTACCTTCATTCTTTCCCTTACAACTTTTATACCCCAAGAAAGTTTTTCAAGCAATATAGGAATTATAATTCTGTTTTTCAAGTGAATGATTCTAATGAATTCAGGTAAAAACGTATTTTTCATCTCTCTTATATGACTAAAACAAAGTCATCCTAAGAACCCACATCTCAGTAACTGGTTATAGATTAACAGAGTGTGAGCAAGCAGGGTATTTTTCTCAGCTATTTCTTTTTACTGGCAGGCTGTATATTTGTGGTTACAAAGAAAGAATCAATCACTTTATTATTTATCTTGAAAGGTAATCTTATAAAGAGTCTTAAAGGAATCACAAAACTAAACTTTTATACATGAAATACAATCAGTCGCTCTACTTGAAATCTTTAGGCTATATAGCTATGTATGTATGTATGTATGTATGTATGTATGTATGTATGTATGTCAGGGAATTGAGGGCAGAAATATACAAGGAAATAATCATCACATTTGGTCATCAACTATTCCTAGCAAGAGAGGTATGCCAGCCAATAATTGGGCTGCATTGCTCATGTTTTCTGTCCTTAAAGAACTCTTCATTCACCTATGTGCCTTTCTAAAACTTTAGATTTTCTTCTTGGGTTTTTCACCTCAAAACTGTTTGAAAAAAAGTCTATTCTAACTTTAAGTTATTTCCAAAGGTTTGTTTCAGCTATTATGCACCTCAGAACCTGTGGTCACATTTCCAAACATTAAGATGAAAAGAATTTAGGCTAGCTAGGCTACTAGGACTCAATTGTTTTTCTTAATCATTAACGTAAGCCACAGTCTATATGGCTCCTCAGTAGAAACTCATGTGTTTTAGCTGTGTGACACCTCCTTGTTCTATTTTTTTTTATCCTTTGCAGCCCCTGCTTTATCAGAGGCAGGGCAACATTTCATCATACCTTTACCTATATTATTTTTCCACTAAACAAACTTCTATCAAATATACATTACTATATTTATTATAAACCCTCAATCATCAAAATTCTATTTAAACTAACACTATTACTGTATACAATCATTGCTTCAGTTCAACAGTACAGCTTAGGAAGAAATCATCTCCATAATAATCCACAGGTAAATATACTCAATAGAAAGGCATATTTCCAAGAGATGATCATACTGCACTACAGACAGTGGGGAATCTCACCATACTTATTGACACCACACTAGATACTAGAAGAAAATGGCAGCAGCAAACATGTTAAGGCACAGCAGAAGCAGATGACATCCTGGAGTCTGTGGTCTCCAGGCCTTGCCTATCCAAGATTCATCCATCAGGTATTTGTTTCCTAGTGGACCAATTCCCTGAAGTCAACTACCATCTGCTGTTCTTCTGACATGGCCACTGCCACATCCATATGCCTGTTTTTAGTGGGTCATGTCCAGCCCTTTATGTGGGTGCAGAGGATCCGACTCACATCTCCCTGCTTTACAGCAATCCCTTTACTAAAATATCTCTCAGCCCCAAGAAATTTTAACTTTAAATTAATATTTAACACCTTCTTTTCTCTTAACATATATACTACACTACATACATACACACACACACACACACACACACCACATTTTTTCATTGCTACTCTTTCATTGTCACCCAAAAATACAGACAAATGTACTACACATAAGCATCAAACACACACAGAATGCATGCAGCTGATGCACTATCTTAAATAGAA